GTGGCCTAGTGCCAAGAAACTGCACTGCAATCCTGAAGGCACGCTGTTTAAGGCCACCAGCTGCTCCATGGGAGAAGGCTGGGTAATCTCCCCCTTTGCGATTAAGTGCCTCTGAAAACCTGCCCAAGGGTGAGCTATGGGTTGGTTCCAACTCTACATTATGCAACAAGAGTTCCCTTCCCTGAGGTTCACATCATATCACAAATCAGGAAAACTTTTATAAAGTTAGTTTTGTTTTGGTTTGGGTTTTATATTCGTTTGCTTTTTAGCTTTGTTAAAAGGGGAAGAAAAGAAAACACAATTTAAGCACAATGGTCAGGTGGGTGACCACTTTGTCCCAGGCTGTCCAGAACTTTCTGGGTTTCAGCATTGGAAGTCCTGTATCCTGAAATCCCAAAAGATTTGGGGAAACTGGGACCTTGAATCCTTAACAATAATAGTCCACTAAGGAGTTAGAATAAGGTGATAGAAAGGGAGAAAGAAGAAACTGCCTTATGTGTACTTGAACTTGATGATAGAGGAGACCTGGTGGCATAATTGGTTAAGTTGTTGTTGTTGCTGTTATGTACCATTGAGTCATTTGCAACTCATAGCGACCCTGTGTACAACAGCCCTAAATCCTGCTCTATCCTGTGCCAACCTCACTGTCTCTGACACACTCAGTCCCACCACCTCAATCACTGAATAGATCCATCTCATCAAGGGTCTTCCTCTCCTGCACTTCCTCTCCTCCACTCTCCCAAACATGATGGCCCTCTCCAAGGACTGTTTCCTCCTTACAATATGTCCAAAGTATGTCAGACGAAGCTTCAGAGTCCTTAACTCCAAGGAGCAGCCTGGCTTCACCCTCTTCAGGACAAACCTGTTTGTTCTCCTAGCAGTTGATGGTATATTCAACACTCTTCTCCAGCACCGCGGCTCAAAGGCATCAATTCTCTTTCTATCATCCCTAGTCACTGTCCACCTCTCCAATGAATAGCATGCAATTGTGAAGACCATAGCCCAGATCAGGCGCACCTTAGTCTCCAGCCTGAAGTCGTTGCTTGTCAGTACTCTGGAGAAGTCCCTGACAGCTGACTTTTCCAATGCAATTCATCTCTTGGTTTCCTGGCTGCTGGTACCAAGAGTGTTGACTATAGAGCCAAGCAAACTAAAACTGTTAACTATCTCAATCTCTTCACCAACCATACTGAACTCTAACTGAAAAGTCAGCAGTTTGAAAACCCCAGCCACTGTTTTGAAAAAAGATGAGGCCATTTCCCCCCAAAGGTTTGATGATATGAGTCAGAATCAGACAGCAGTTGGTTTCGTTTTGGGATTTGGTACCCAAGACCATATCTGTATGGTAGGCTTTTTATTCATCAACTCTTGGTCATATCTCCTTCTGCTGGGAACAGGACTACTGTCCGCAAGTGAATGGAGGTGGATGGAGCTGAACGGATAGCAGGCTGAATCTATGACTGAGGAGAAAAGGAGTTGAACACAAGAAAGAGTCAGGGAATCAAAGACAATAAGGTGGTTTGGAATCCAGGAGGGTGGGAAGAAGACAGGAAGGTGGGTACCCTGATGTCGTTTTCCTCAGGGGATGGCGAGAGTGGGGTTACACGGAGGTTCTGGAGTCTAGAAAGAAAGTGTAAATCTGACCCACAAGGCATGAGTGAAGTGAGTTTCTCCCAGAGTGAAAAGATATAGTCTGTAAAAGTAAAATGAAGAGATATTAAAAATGAGAAGACATCCATTTTCACACAATAAAAATGGCTGCCCTGCTGGACAAGGAAGAAGAGCTCATTTGTATGCAGGTTGAAGCCAGAACCAAAGTTACACAATCACAATTGGCAGAAAGACCATCAGGGGAGTCAAAGGTGGGTATCAAAGAGCAGAGATTTAGTAGGGATATAGGAATGGATGGATGGATGGATGGATGGATGGATGGATAGATGGACGGACGATGGATGAATAATATAAAAGTAGAAGGATTCTATGATTGGGAAGTTGAGGGTCCACACTTATAAGCATTCATGCTCTTCATTTATTCCAGGAAGGTCACAGAACCGTGTCATCACGGGCATTTCTAGTAGCCTATTATTAAGAAGTGTTTTTCTCAATCATATCTATCCCTGAGGGGCCACCATAAATGTTCACTGACAATATTGTGCATCATGACTCTTCAGGCATAATTTAACCATTTGACCATAAAAGACCTTCCGGAAGTAAATTGTGATATCTTCCACCTGCCAAGCCACAGAAGTGGGGGAAGTGTTTCTTTTAGTGTATACGGTTGAATCAACACAAAGGTTAGAGGAAATGTTAAAAAAGGCAACTGTAAACTTCAGCATGGCATTTAGACTTATGACAGGACTTCAAGATGGAGTCAGACTTCTCTCACACAGAACTCAAGTGCCAAGTGCCTCTGACATTAGACTGCCAAGAAAGACAGGAATGGTCAAAGGCAACTTGAGTTCAAAGCAAAATCTGAGTCTGCTCACACTGTGCTGTTGTCATTGGGTGCCTTGGAGCTGAGTACGACTCATAGCATCCCTATGAACAATAGATCTGAACCCTCTCCTGGGCCGTCCTCGTCATCTCTGACACACTTGAGCCCATTGCTGCGGTCACTGTCAAACCATCTAGGTGAGGCTCTTCCTCTCTTTCACTGACCCTCCACTTTTCCAAGCATGATGTAAAAGGTGCTTGAAGCGGTTTCTCCTCATTTTTAGTGACTTCTAATCAAGGATCTACCTCTAATACTACTTAGCTGCCCTTATTGTATTACTCTGTTGTTCACAGGGTTTTCAGAGGCCTGTTATTTCAGAAGTAGATGGTCAATCCTGCTTCCTCATCTGTCTTAATCTGGGAGCTCTGTGAAAGCAGTCCTCCATGGACACACTGGGCTAAAAATATCTGTCAGACCAACCAATAGAAGTCCTTCTTTTGCAGCAGGAAGTAGCTAAGAGAATACGCCGTCCCCTTTTCCTTATGAATCAGGATGAAATCTCTCTCAGGGAGGAGTGATAGGGAATGGCAAAGGACACACTGACAAAGGAGATTAATCAGAACTGGCTTTGACAAGCACTGTGGCAGTGGGACAATTAAAACAGACTTTCAAGGGGGAAAAAAAAGAGGAATGAACTGGGGTGGGGGTAGAAAAAATAGTGCAACAATGAATGAATGGATATCCAAAATCTCTGTAAATGTTCATTAAAATGAATAAAATTTAATAAAAATGTTTTTAAAAAGAAGACATTCAGATGGCAAACACACACATTAAAAAAAAAAAAAAGAAAGAAATCCTTCTTTTGCCCAGGTCAGTTTTTCCAAGGCCATCAGAAGAGTTCCCAAGGACTGATTTGGAAGGTCCAATGAGATGATAATAATGTGGAGGAATCCTCCTGAAAAATGGCAAAGCTCTATTCAAACAATAATGTCATGAGCGAGAATTAGAAGTGGTTCCTGGTTATCCGGTCTCTGTCTCCCTCCTTAAGCAATCTCCTTCCCCGCAACAAACTAAAGCAATCTGATTCCTGATCTAAATCAAGGAAGGGCATCGCCACCTACCAGTTGCTCATGAGCCACATGATGCAGGTCCCAGGGCAAGGAGCAGTTAAGAACTCATGTCTTTAATAACTGTCACAGATGTTCACAAGAAACACCTAAGAGGCCAACATAGTAGGCATTACAGCTCATCACCCAAGAGCCAAAAGACTGACAGCCGTGCTGGGGGCTTAACAGAATGTCCCCTTTATCCCAGATGATTATCGGTATTCAATTCAACTCAACTCGTTGCCATGGAGTCAGAACTGACTTCCAACTCACCTTCCATCAGGTGTTTAGAGGCTAGAAATTGCATGGAAGGAGACTGCCCATCATCCTCCCTCAGAGCAACTGGTGGGTTCAAACAGCCATGCAACCCCAAGTCCAGTGACTTCCACAGGTCAGAGCAGACGTGCACCACAGAGTTTTCGAGACTGTCATTTTTATGAGCATAAGGCCAGGTCTTTAACCTACAGAGCCAGTGTAAGAGTTCGACCAGCCAAGAGCTTAACCATTGCACCACCAAATCTCCTCCCAACATGCTAAAGAAGTGAAGGAACTAGTTAGCAGGGTATGATGGATCAAATCAAAGACTTGTAAAGATGGGATCAGGATAATGGTACTCTTCAACATTAGTCCCTTGCTTTCAAAATTTCAGAGTCTACAACTTACTGAAAGCTGACATATTTGCACCCGACAGAGAAACGGCTTGCATCAGAGAAGGCCACCCAGCTGGTCTGGAAGTGAGCTGCATCAGACCCAATATGTCCTGACTGTGGAGTTCAAAGTTCCTCCACTCAACACACCTCTCTCAACTCTTTGTTGTTGTTGTTGTTATGCACTGTCAAGTCAACTCCAACTCATACTGACCCTGTGACAGTTCTGAACTCAGTTCTATCCTGGAGCTTCTGACACACTTACCCCTATGACCCCAGTCACTGAGTCAATCCATCTCATCCTGGTTCTTCCTCTCCTGCGCTGTTTCTCTACCCTTCAAAGTACGAGATCCCTCTCCAAGGACTGGTCCCTCCTTGCAACATGCCCAAAGTGTATCAAAAGGACCTTCAAAATCCTTGCTTCTAAGCAGCAGCCTGGTTTCACCCTTTCCAGGAAGAACCTGTTTGTTCACTTTGTGGTCCATGGTATATTCTATAATCTTCTCCAGCACCACAGCTCAAAGGCCTCCTCTCAACTCTAGGCTGCTGATTTTTTATTTATTTTTTTTTAAGTTGCATTCCTAATGTTTTAAAGAGTTCTTTGATGGTTAGCACAGGAAGTGAAACAGTGTCCTTCCATTGTGAAAGATGTCACAAAGCAAAACACAGGAGAAGTGTTAACTGGAAAACCAATTGGCTCTGGAAACGTTCACTTAAATCACAAAACATTTTAAAAGGAAAAAAAAAATTACAAGGAATTCCTGGATCTCTGATACAAACAAATTAGGATCCAAATTCCAAGAGTCCCAAGACATGGTCAAAGAGAATAGGTGAGTCACTTTAAATAGGTGAGTCACTTATTTGGCTTTCCTATTTTTTTTAATGTAAAAATTCTCTTTTTACTAAAAAATTTTCTACTCTATTTCACTGCAGTCATCCATCAACAAATATGCTTTTTAAAAACCCCTTTTCCTGTGCCCTCCATCCCCTCACAGACTCTGTCATTTGGTCACTCCTTTGTGCTTCTTATAAATCACTTTTTTTTTCTTCCCTAAACTGAAAGATCTGAAAAAAACGGGGAACCATAAAATCCCAATCTCAGCAAGCCAGAGTCGTGTCCGATTGCTGAGGCCATGCTGCCCTCTTCAGGCCAATAGGACACATGCCCATTAAAATCCACGCTTGCAAGAAAACAAAAACATCTATGTATTGTCGGCGGAATAGTAAAATGGTACAACCACTCTAGAAGGCAGTTTGGCATTTCATCAAAAAGCTGGATGTAGACATTCCATATGACCACTGCTTGGAATATATGGTAGTTGCTATTTGCTGTCGAGTTGCTTGTGACTCATAGCGACCCTATATACAGCAGCCCTAAACACTGCTCTATCCCTTGAGAATCTCACTGTCTCCAGCATGCCTATCCATCCCCATTACCCCAGAGACAGAATCAATCCATCTCACCGAGGGTTCTCCTCTCCTGCACCATCCCTCCACCCTCCCAAGCATGATGGTCCTCTCCAAGAACTGGTCCCTCCTTGCAACATGTCCAAAGTATGTCAGATGAAGCTTCAGAATCCTTGTCTCCAAGGAGCACCTGGCTTCACCCTTTCCAGGACGAACTTGTTTGTTCTTCTAGCAGTCCATGGTATATTCAGTACTCTTCTCCAGCACGAAAGCTCAAAGGCATCAACCCTCCCTCTATCATCCCTAGTCATTGTCCAGCTCGCTGATGCATAGCAAGTAATGGCAAAGACCATGGCCTGTATCTGGCACACCTTAGTCTCTCGACTGACATCATTGCTCCTCAGTCCTTTGGAGAGTTCTCTGACAGCAGACTTTCCCAATGCAATTCGTCTTTTAATTTCCTGGCTGCTGTTACCAAGAGTGTTGATTGTAGAGCCAAGTTAACTGAAGCTGTCAACAATCTCAATCTCTTCACCATCCATCCTGATGCTACCAATTGGCCCAGTGGTGAGAATCTTTGTCTTCTTAATATTGAGCCTCAATTCCTATTGAAGGCTGCAGTCCTTGACCTTTGTGGCAAGTGCTTCTGGTCCTCAGTTTCAGCAAGCAGGGTTGTGTCATCTGCATAACACAAATTGTTGATGAATCTTCCACCAATCCTGATGCCACACTTCTCCTCATACAGCACAGCCTCCCAGATAATCTGTTCTGCAGATTGGTTGAAAACGTATGGAGATAGGACACATCCCTGGCATACACCTTTCCAAATTTTGAACCATGCGGTGTTACCCTGCTCTGTTCTGATGATTGCCTCCTGGTCCAAGTATAAGTTGAGAACTGAAGCAAAGAGACTTGTACATCAATGTTCATAGCAGCATTATTCACCATAGCAAGAACATAGAAACAGTCCAAATGCCCAACCACAATGGAACGGATTGAGAAATTATGATACATTCACACAATGGAACTCTATGCAGCACACAGGAGCAATGATTTTGTAAATTACTACCTGACATAGGAGAGACTAGAGAGCGTTATGTTGAATGAACTCGGTCTCATAAAGACAAATCCTGTATAAGATCATTATTGTAGAGCCTGTACAAGGAACTAAATAGGTGGGGAAGGGGGAGGGGTTTAAACATAGGGTGACACAATTTCATGGGTGGAGGGAGGGATCGGTAAAGGAAAGGGGAAGTATGGGGTGAAAAACAATGTATATAAACTTTATAAATTTCACATGTAAACCAGTATAAAATTATTACCTAATAGTTTACTGGAATGCAAAATTGGTAACCAAGAAGGACCAGGAGATGGAAAATATGGTCTTGGTGACAGAATTAGGCTGGGGATGGAATGACAGAATGCTGTACAATCTATTATTTATTCATAGCAAATATCTTTTATAAGAAATATAAATGCAGATTATACATATCATAAACGCAGGTTATACACATAGATTTAACCTGATGGGATGCAGAGTCATCAGACTGATTACATCTATGGAAGTAACCACTGGAGAAGTTCAATATCAGCAGTAAAAACTAGGCCAGGGGCTGATTGTGGAACAGACCAGTAACTGCTCATATGTAAGTTCAAATTAAAACTAGAGAAGGTTAAAATCATGCACACGGCATTGAAACAGATGAGGGAGAGAACTGTATAAAAAGGAATATATGATTAGGTATTATTGGTATGACAAGAGTCCATAATAAGAGCTGCATAGTAAAGTGGTTTGGGGGTGAGGGGAGACTGTATAACAATGAAAGAACTTTTTTCCAAAGAAAAAAACAAACTGGGGAGTGAGGGGGCAGGGAGGAAAATGTGCAACAATGAATCAATATCACACACTAGCAATGTCCTGCTGAAGAGTGTCCAGAAAAGAATTGAACAGTACATTGACAGAGAACTACCAGAAACACAAGCTGTGTTTAAAAGAGGTCATGGCACTAGGAAGATTATTGCCAATGTCAGATGAATCTTGGCAGAAAGCAGAGAGTACCAGAAGAATGTCTATCTGTGTTTCATTGACTATGTAAACACATTTGACTGTGTGGGTCACAATAAATTGTGGCCAACCTTGAGGAAAATGGGAATCTCAGAACACTTGATTGTGCTTATACAAATCCTACACTTGGACCAAAAAGAAGTTCTCAGAACAGAGTAAGGAAACACTGAATCGTTCAAAATTAGGAAAGGAGTGTATCAGGGATGCATCCTGTCACCATATCTTTTCAATCTGTATGCAGAACAGATCATTTGGGAAGCAGAGCTTTATGACAAAAAATGTGGCATCAAGATTGAGGGAAGACTCATTAACAACCTACCTACAATGCGTGGAGACACCACCTTGCCTGCTGAAACTGAAGAAGACCTAAAGCACTTGCTGCAAAAGGTCAAGAACTATAGTCTTCAATATAGATTGAAGCTCAACATCAAGAAGACAAAGATTCTCGCCACTAGGCCAAGTGGCAGCACCATAGTAGATGGAGAAGAGATTGGGATTGTTAGCAATTACAGCTTGCTCAGATCCACAATCAACACTCTTAACAACAGCAGTCAAGAAATCAAATGACAAATTGCATTGGGAAAATTTGCTATCATGGCTCTCTCCAGAGTGCTGAAGAGCCATGATGTCAGTCGAGATACAAAGGTATGCCTAATCTAGGCCATGGTTTTCTCAATTTCTTGTTATGCTTCAGAGAGCTGGACAACGTGACTGAGGATGACAGAAGAAGAATAGATACCTTCGAGTTGTGGTATTGAAGAAGAGCCTTTACTATACCATGGACTGCCAAGAAAACAAATCGGTCTGTCTTGGAGAGGGTGAAGCCAAGTCGCTGCTTGGAGGCTAGAATTTTAAAGCTCTGTCTCACTTACTTTGGGCACATGGCCAGGAGAGATCGGTCCTTGGAGAAAGACATCATGCCTGAAAGGGTAGACGGACAACGCAGGAGAGGAAAATCCTGGATAAGATGGATTGACACAGTAACTGGGACAATGGGAGTTGGTGTGTAGGAATTAGTGAGACTAGCTCAGGACCAGGAAGTGTTCAAAGCTGTTGTACATAGGGTCACTTCAAATCACAGGTGACTCAATGTCATGTAACAATAACATACTCCGAAAGGTTTGGAAGCAGGAGTGGCATCCACTTCCTAGCCCACATGCTTCCAGAAACTCTATTAGCTTTGATAAATGTTGATAAAGTTGTAGAGGGGTTTCAGGCCTTTTGTTCATAGGGTTGCTATGAGTCATGCTTGACTCGAAGGCAATCAACATCATCATCATGTATGGTACAACTATTAATGTGTACTTATCTGAAGCAAAAGAGAAGTAAGACCCAAGAGACAAAGAAAGAACCTGTCTACCACACTACCTTATCTACAAGAACCACAGCCTTCTCTATGAGGAAACCAAAAGAATTAGATGGTGCCCGACTGCAATTACTGAATGTTTTGATCTTGATGGATCTTGAAAGAAAGGGAGAAAATACAGGGGAAAAAACTTCAAATATATTTTTTAAAATCTACGTGTCAGTGACTCACTGACATAGGAGAAATCCCTGAGATTATAGATCTGAGATATTCTTTAAATCTTGAATGAAAACTATCACTTTAAAAAAGAAAGCAACCTAAACCCTATCACTTCAAGTCATCTTTTACCCCAAAAGCAGGTTATCACAAAAAGTCATGAAAATCACTTTTGAGAAGTATTCGCTTTAAAAAAAAATCAATATTCAAATGGTCACCAAACACTCTAAAGCAGAGGTGAGAAGATTGAGACAAGACTAATGGGAGTAGAACAACAGGAACAGAAATTACAATATTCATACCTTGGGAAGAATGTAATCAGTGTCGCTGAAAACAGGTATGTATGTAGTTGTTATGTGCCGGCAAGTGACCCTCAACTCAGTACTCCTATGCACAATAGCCCTGAACCCTGCCCTATCTTGTGCCTGTCTCACTGTTTCTGACACACCTGCCACCCTTACCCTAGTCACTGTCTCACTTGATCTCATTGAGGGTCTTCCTTTCCTGTGCTGTCCCTCCACCCATCCAAGCATGATGTCTTTCTCCAAGGACTGGTCCCTCATGGCAACATGCCCTAAATACTGAGATGGAGCTTCAAAATCCTTGCCTCCAAGAAGAAACTTAGTTTCACCATCTCCAGGACAAATCTGGTTGTTCTCTTGAGAGTACATGATATGTTCAATATTCTTTTCCATCACCACAACTCAAAGTCATTGATTCTTCTGTCATCTTTAGTCATTATCTGATGCATAGCAAGTAATTATGAAGATCATGGATCAAGCACATCTTACTCTTTAACCGGACATTGTTGCCCTTTAGTACTGCTGGTGTCAAGA